ATCACTGACTACACTGAGGCATGGAAAAACATTATGGTTTTTAATCAATTATGGCTCTCACCTTTGGGGCAGCACATTCATTACATATGATAGGAACAGCTAAGGGAAAATATTCCAATTGCGTGCTGAGATTGAAATGAAAGAAATTGTATGGTTAGAGGGTAGACAATGACTGCAATTTCGCACAGCAGAACATCCCGGGCTGGATTTACATATGTGCACACAAAGGGCCCATACTGCATGTGATTTCACTGATATAATTTATGTGTACCCAGTGATTTATCATCCTTAGATCACCGAGTAGAAATCAAGCACAGATCTCCATAAGAGGTCCACACATGCTGCCAGTAAATGATAGGTGTTATAAAAGTTTATCATGGCAATGAAATGGAACGAATCAATCAAGAAGGCACAGGTTTCCGTCATGCAAAATAGTGCCCAATCAGAGGTAGTTATTTCGTAGGAGGTGAACACATGTAGAACACGCAGCAACAGCGGTCTTTGTTAAAAAACAACCAGAATATGTAGATACTGTAATTGAAAAAGTGGTGTGTAAGTATTATTAAACAGGAAGTTTCATACAGTTAATCTGACTGCTCAAAGAAGCATCCCAGATGTGCTGATAATTAACTATAATATACATATACAGCTGTCCAGACAGATTACAGACAGTAGAGGTAAACTGATGTAGTATGTTACTTAATCCATATAGATACAATACAGCACAGAGAGAAACTGTTTTGGAATTAGGTACGCTATACATGGCGATTACGCGGGACACTATTTCCTACTTTAAATGCACATTATTTTATCATGGAAGGTTAAGTATGGTTGTTAAGCAGTACTAGGCAGTTGGAATTTAAAATATCCACAGGCAGCATTAGTGTAGGATATTAAAAGAAAACATAAATCTTAAATTCATCTCTTTTAAGTAAAGAAAGACAATTATTTGGCAGCTTCCGGTAAGTACAATGTAAGTAAGTAAGAATTTATCTCAAACACATACCTCATTTTCCCACTCTGGAATAACCTTATTGGGCCCAGGGTAGCTCACCTGGTCTGATTCCAACCTGTGGCCCTTTGCTGCATGATGAATCTTATTCTGTATCAATAATGGAGAGTCAGTGCATTCAGGCAGTCCTCAGTCCTTGTAAAGTCAAACATTTTTAGGATGTCGGCCTTAGACAGCCAACAAAGTCCACGCGGGACACTGTGACACGAGAACTGGTAAGTAATACCTGGTAAGTATGACCTTCTTTCCTGACTTTAGGAGTTGATTGAATTAAACAATTTGTTACATTAAACAATTGACAGAAACATAATGAATTTTAGGGCATTAAGGACTACAAGTGATATAATGTTGTGTCCTCAAACAATGTAAGCTGCATTTCCTGGCCACATTTGGCAGAATCTTTGAAATGAGACAAACCTTTTTGGTTTGCTATGATTAATTCGGTCTTAAAATCTGGACTTCAGACATCAGGATCAAGCCCCTGAACTTGAACGTGGCAATTACCTACATACCATCAAGATACTGTTGTCTGTTTTGAGGACTTCTTTTCTAACAGCAAATAAAACAAAGACGGGCTTTTACAGGTGAACTTCCAGTAGGTGTCATTAATCTCATGTAGTTAATAATGTGAATACAGTCCAGAAATACAATCTGGTTACTAAATCTTTTTTTTTAAAGCATGTATGTTACTTTGGAGCTAAATAAATAAAAAATATCTGTGTATCCATAAGTGAATGTTAACTAAATCAATTACCCACTATGCAAATTAATGTATATTATATGTATATTGAAGCTTCCCTATAAAAAAAAATTGTGATCCTTAAAGAAAGAACCCATCTGTGTCTTTGGCACACAGTCTGCTGGAGTCTACTCCCTTACAAAAAAGGTGTGAGCACCCATGCGGTTAGCTGCACAACACACATGTTTGCTGCACAGTGCAGAAGCAGAGTCCTTTCCCCAGGCAATGGCCCGTCAGGCCAGACAAGGAGGCCGGGTGTTAAAGTGTGAGCTGGGTACACGGAGTAACAACAGGGCCATCTGCCCTGGGAATGCACACATCCATCTTACTAAGAACAGCCAGTCTGGGAAAAGATAAAAAAGAAAACAATTGGGGAGGAGAGAGAACGAGAGGGAGAGGAGAAGTAAGAAGAGGAGGCAGTAGGGAAGAAACTGAGAAAAAAAGAAATAGAAACTGAGAAACAAATTTGTACATGCATGCGTGTGTACGATGTCGGTGCTGGAGGGGAGATGCGAGGGAGTGAAGACAAGGTGAGAGAAGAGAGTAGGGAGCGGTTGGTGTAACAGTAATCTAGACTGGTGGCACCATCTGCAAACAGTGAAGGCTGAACAAATTACACAAGCATAAAATGAACGTTTTTTCTCTCTCATACAGCTGTGATCATTTAGGAGCCTGGAGTGGACATTAACACCTACGATACAAAACAACAGTAGGTAGTCAGTAAAAAGCTCAAAAACGTTACTAAATGGATGAGCCAACTTTAACTTTTAAAGCCTATCTTTGCCAACTACTAAAGATCAAAGCACAGTATGAATCTTACGAGAATACTTTCAATTTAATATCTGTGCTTTTGTTCATAATTCATCATGTGTTTACAAAACAGATTGCTGTTCTATTTTATTTAATCAAGCATGACATCAGGAAGGTCAGTTGAGAGGCCTGCAGTAAGTCTCAGCTCCCACCGTCATCCCTGCTTCATAACCATCTGGATATGACTCCAAACACTGCAGTCAGCAATCTGGGTGCAGTGATATCATCTAGCATTTGTTTTTATTTTTAGAACCATTTCCTCATCACTGTATAATCAGTATATATGGTCCCACTGATATAGCACACTCTCCCCTCTCCCTCTCGGACTCCACATTACCTTATCACACTGAGAGCTTTTATTTAGCTGTGCTTCCAGCCATTAGCTTCAGACAGTGGGGAGAGAGAGAGAGAGA